AGTGTATCGATGTATTCTGTAATGTGTGTGTTGTGATGTTCATGTTTTGTGTGTGTTTTAATTTTCTTGAAAATGTTTTTGAGTTGTTTCTTTAATTTGGGTGTTATGTTGTTTTTAGTGTATTGTGTCAGCCTGCCTAATTGCTGTCTAATGTCATTTATTTGTGTTTCTATTCTTCTCTGCCAGGCAGGCTTATGATAGAATTGTGTTTTGTGTGTGTCTGTCTGTGAGTGTATTTTCAGTCCATGGTGTGTCACTACTGTGACTTATTATTATTATTATTATTATTATTATTTATTTTAAGCCTAAGTCTCAAATTGTTGAGAGACTTATGCTTAAAAATTTGTCATAGGAGTTTATTGATCTTAAAGGTGTAGAATATGTGTTGCATCAATCCTGTTTTGGTAACACATTTTGATGCCATCATTATAGATAAAATATAATAATTTAATGAAGAACCTTTAAAGACAAATGGGTAAAATTTTCCATGCCAACTCTGGTGGTACTAGTTTCCTATAAATGCAATGTTTCCCAACAAAATCTTTTTCATAAAAAGGTTTTGTTGGGAATTGCTGTGCTATATAGTTAATTACCTCCAAGGAGAAGAATCATGTTGCCATGAGGATCTGAACACTGCTCATAATTCTTATAATTGCTTATACAGTAGACCCCGCTATAACACGGTAGTTACGTTCTGCTTTATAAGAATTTTGCATTGTAGGAATCTTTAAATACATGAGCCAATCACAGCCTGACACGTGTGAAGTTTACGGACTATGGCTGTTTGAAAGGTTTTCTTCCATAAAATTAATCGATTCTAGACTAATCTGACTCAACATTTCCAAATCACGTATAATTTTTTGGGAATAATCCGTATAAACTATGCTATAAACAAAAAATTGTGGGATTACTTACCGAGTGTGCACCGTTTGACGTCGCCATTTTTTAAGCTTGTTTTCATCGTGGAACAGCGCACCAAACGGCAGCTGTGATTTCTGATCAATGAATTTTTTTGCAGAAAAATAACTTAACTTTGGAGACATCATTAATATAAATAATTTTTATGACTGTTGAATAAGAAATGTTTTTTTCACAAGAAATGTATAAAATTACAGTGCTGTATTAGACTTACGGTACGTAATTTACATACTGTACAGACGATAGTAAACTCAACTTACTCGCCTAAACTCTCCGTAGCATGGTGCTGGACGGTGGAAAGTATATATATAATTATAATAAAGTTAAAATAAATTAAGTTAATATTGTACAGACGATAATAATACTGTACAGATGATAGTAAACTCAACTTACCCGCCTAAACCTCTCCATAGCATGTAAGTAGTTCAGCTGCTCATCTACTGTTGGTCCATATTCGACCAATCCTGTCACGACACAAGTTGGCGATGACGTTTTACGCGTTCCTTTTAGCGTATTTATATGAATACCATTGCAATTTTTTGCCGCGTTATAGGGGGTCTACTGTACTTCCATGTGAATGTGTATCTTTTAAAATGAGTAATATAGTAAACTTCTGCATGCAAGTTCATTCTACACATATGCCTAAAATCATTGACTCTGAACACTAGCAGCCCTTTGTGTCTGTTGGTATTCAATTTGAAATTGTGAAATTTCCTTTGAATCCATTGAAATTTCAAACTATAAATACACAGCTGAAATTTATTAAAATATATTTATGAAATAGCAACCCTGCCTGTATAAATTAAATTGTAGTGTAAAAATAGCTTGGAAAGATTTTATTTATTTTTGTTTTCAAATTGTTTTTTTATATTTGAATTCAAAATCTAATAAAAAAAATTTTTTTTGTAGATTTCAGGTGTGGTCAATAAGGCATTGGATGCATATTTTCCTGCTGATTCTGGTATAAGAATTATTGCAGAACCTGGTCGTTTCTTTGTAGCATCAGCTTTTACTCTGATCACTAACATCATAGCTAAAAGAGAAGTAATGATTCCAAATGAAGGTTAGTTTTAAATTTTTTTAACAAAATTTATAATACAAACACATTTCAATTTGAAAATGAATCCTGTTCCTTGAAATTGTTTGTAATTTATGTTACATACTTTTATTTATTTAAACATAAGAAAATAGAAAGAATTAGTAAAANCCCTTAAATTGTAATTTAAGGGTTTTACAGTTTAAATATTAAATTTTTATTTGTTTTATATTTGTTTTGTATTTAAACTTTAAACTTATGAAACAAATAAAAATTTAATTTTTCTTCTTAACCTATTCAATACTTTTTCTTATGTAAAGTTTAAACTTTATATTATACGTTATGTTATAATATGTATTGATGAAAGGAATAATTTGATTAGTAAAATTGTTTTTATATTCAGATTGTCATGTAATAAATAATAAATATATAACAGAAATTTATTAGTTTTTATTACTAGCATTGTACGTAACATTCTAACAAAAATACCAAAATGTAAAATTGGCCGATTATCGAAACCGATTAATTGGTGGAAATGGCCGATACCGATTAATCGGCTAAGTGGCCGATACGGCCGATTACCGATTACTTACCGATTAATCGGTGCATCCTTATAATATACATTGACCCCAATAGAAATTTATTTCAGTTACATATAGAAAATGTCAGAGGACAAGGAATTTCTATCCCAAATCAATAAAATAGCCCAAAGAAAAAAGTTTAAAGATACAAACTATTCAAACAAGATAGAACAGTAATTATGAACTATATTTTATAGTATATTTTTATGTAACCAATTCTGTGGGCATCTCTATTGGACACAAAATTGAAACTTTGCTCACCCATTCTTCGTTGATTATAAAATATGAAATCAACAACAGGAAAATTCTTTTAGGTCATTCTTAAATGAATTATTGTACAATTTGTAATTTTTATGAATTGTGAAATTATTTATTTATTTTAATATTATAATTGACTTTATTGAATATTCTATAATTTATAAATAAAAGTATTTAAGTAATTTAATACTTGTTTTGTAATCTTAATTTTTAACATAGAATTTAGGTACTACAGAAGAGATAACTGCCATTTAAACTTGTTTTTACTAGATAATTTGAAAATACCAAAGTTGCTTCTAAACAAAGCAAGGATATATTTAGTATATTTTCCTCCAAGTAGAAAGATTTTTAACGAATGGCGTTCTCGTCAATTCTTTTTATAGTTCCAACAAGGTGTTGACACTGCGACAATCTGTTTTTGTAATAGGACAAAAGAGACGAGCCCGTATTCCGTACCAGTCTGTGGGGTCCCACCTGTGACAGTATGGACAGAATCGTGGAGTTGTGCTACATGCCAGACATGAAGATCGGCGAGTGGATCGTCTTCGAGAACATGGGAGCCTACACTATTTGCGCTGCCTCCAATTTCAACGGTTTTGAAAAACCAGCCCTGAAATTCTACCTTCCCCGGCATGCATTGTAAGACACTTCTGCCACGTCTAATTCAAAATTGTGGCAGTGTTCTAGTCTCTTGATTTTCTCCTTACTTTTTCAGAATCTTCCTTCAGCAGCTAACTTCATGGTCTCGCCTGGTGAAGGCACTCTCACCCGAATGGACCTCTGTAGCCGAGGCATCCGAACAGGCCTCCGGCGGATCCGAAGGGGTGCACTTGCTTCCGGTGGCCGAGGCTGTGTTCGCCTGATATTACTACACAGGACAGATTCAGCTTCTTCACTTGTACATTCCATTTTTCCTATCACCGCTAGATAGAATCTCTTTCTTTAAGTGGATTAAGTTTCAAGAAGACATTCTTTGGATAAATTTATTTAACATGCAATTTATTAATAATAATAAATGGTTAAATCAATTAAATAATAGTATCTTAATAGTGTGTTTGTGTGACTTGATTTTTTTTGTTTTGTTTGAATATTGGGAGACATGCTGCTACTGGTCTAATCAATTCTTAAATTTAAGTTATATTAAATTATTCCAATTTTTGGAAAAATATTTTAAAATCAATAAATATGGTTCCTTATAAAATATTTATGTGCAGATCATTTATTAAAATCTTTAAGTTCTTATAATCATTTTACAAAATTGAATTTTAATTGTTCTATTTTTATCATCAAATTTTTTAACGTAAAAGTGAAATATCTAATATACATACTCAAATAACCTTAACAGAGCGGTGTAAAATCTTTATTAAAAAATTTTAAGAACTTATAAAAGATATTTTGAAATATTTCACCTTTTTACGGTATTATTGTGAATAAAATATCAAAATTGCCATTAAAACTCGGCTACCACCGCAATTTAATAACGCATTAAAGTTCATATATAGACTAATGTGTGTTAAGTCCACGAATTTATGCGATGCGGTAGACATAAGCCATGATGTAGATGTGCAATTTCTAACTATCAGAACGAACATGCAGTAAACGTGATTCCGTACACATTGGAGGATTTAAAGATGGAGTCTAGAGGAGGATGAGAGGAATGGCGAATCGGTCATTTAGAACGAGATCGGGCGCGATTATAGCTAATTACGTAGTTTTTCAAGATTATTCGTTCTAGGAGTTTCTAGTAATCAAAATGTAGACGGACGCGGGATCGGTGAAATTACGCGTTATCGTCACGTACACAACTGGTGTACTAAGGGTAATCGATAGAGTAAAAGCATCAACATTGGTAAATGTACATCGACGGTTTAACTCCATTCAGAGAGGTAGAGCCGTCAGGTGAAGACAGTCGCACTGCGGCTCCACCGTCTCTTTATTGATCAGAAACAACGTAGTAAACATAGAAGAGACGTTAAACCCGACTTTCGGTATGGATTGGTTAGCGACAAATCATCAAGTATTGGGCGACAAGTCGTCTACCAATTTGAGGAAAGGTTATCGTGTCGGAGACTTAAGCAAGTAAGTAATAATATATACAAAATCAGCGCCATCTATATATGCCATCCACTTCTTATGCACTCCATATGGTATTTGAGATGTTTAAAACTGTTCCGTTGTAAATTTCAGCAATGTGAATTTTATATTAATACGTTCTTTAGTATTTGCTATTTCGTCGTTCATCCACTGGTTCGTTTCTTTATTAATTTAAGAAAATAATAATTTTTATCAATTCGGACGTAACCATGTAGGATCATCTTACATATGTTTATGATTTTTAAAAAAATGCTAACCAAACCATTTTTTAGTGTTTTACGCTTAAAATCCTTATTATTCTAAATTGTGAATTAAATATTCATAAAATTAATTATTGTTAATACGAAGAATTTTATGTAATTTAAGTAAAATAATTGTCTTTATTAAGCAGTCATAATTTCTAATTAATTTTTATTAAAAAAAGTGCTGCCATCTAGTGTCTAATTTACCCTTCACCCATTCACAGGAATAGAGATCCCGATAATAGCAATACACCCTTATTACACGATCAAACTGTTTTGGAAAAGGATATAAAATGCGGTAAAGGAAGCGGCCAAACAAGGTTTGTTAATAAATAAAATAATGAAGAACAATTTTTTTAAACGCATTTTTTTAGAAGAGAAAAAAATCTTTCCCGTTTCAGATCTCCTAATAAATCAAATATGGAGAATCAAAGCGAGGATAAATTAATTAACGACGAGTGGACCGAAATGGCACTTTCTCCACGACGCAGTGCGAACGCCAAAACACCTAGTAAATCCAAAAGGGGTGGTCCCGGCAGATCTCCTCTTCTATCGCGAGAATGGAAAGGACAGGAGAGCGAACGTCTATTGATCGATTATCGCGACGAACAGGGAGCGATGGGGGAGAGCGACGATGACGTATGGGATCCAGGTTGGGATGATCTAGAACAGGAAACGCCCACTAAAGGCTACCGGCGCATCAATACAAAGCGTAATTAACCCCCTACAGTTCCTCCTTTACCGTCTCCTATTCTAAACACCCCCATTTCGATCTTTCCACCCCCACTCTCCTCCTAGTTAAACTTCTATGAAGCTGGACTTCAATACCCCATCGAAATAGCGAAAAAAAAGACACACGAAAAGGTAAAATTTATCATATAGCAAGCACGTGAGTGGAAGATATCCATCAAAAAAATTTATATANATGTATAAAATTACAGTGCTGTATTAGACTTACGGTACGTAATTTACATACTGTACAGACGATAGTAAACTCAACTTACTCGCCTAAACTCTCCGTAGCATGGTGCTGGACGGTGGAAAGTATATATATAATTATAATAAAGTTAAAATAAATTAAGTTAATATTGTACAGACGATAATAATACTGTACAGATGATAGTAAACTCAACTTACCCGCCTAAACCTCTCCATAGCATGTAAGTAGTTCAGCTGCTCATCTACTGTTGGTCCATATTCGACCAATCCTGTCACGACACAAGTTGGCGATGACGTTTTACGCGTTCCTTTTAGCGTATTTATATGAATACCATTGCAATTTTTTGCCGCGTTATAGGGGGTCTACTGTACTTCCATGTGAATGTGTATCTTTTAAAATGAGTAATATAGTAAACTTCTGCATGCAAGTTCATTCTACACATATGCCTAAAATCATTGACTCTGAACACTAGCAGCCCTTTGTGTCTGTTGGTATTCAATTTGAAATTGTGAAATTTCCTTTGAATCCATTGAAATTTCAAACTATAAATACACAGCTGAAATTTATTAAAATATATTTATGAAATAGCAACCCTGCCTGTATAAATTAAATTGTAGTGTAAAAATAGCTTGGAAAGATTTTATTTATTTTTGTTTTCAAATTGTTTTTTTATATTTGAATTCAAAATCTAATAAAAAAAATTTTTTTTGTAGATTTCAGGTGTGGTCAATAAGGCATTGGATGCATATTTTCCTGCTGATTCTGGTATAAGAATTATTGCAGAACCTGGTCGTTTCTTTGTAGCATCAGCTTTTACTCTGATCACTAACATCATAGCTAAAAGAGAAGTAATGATTCCAAATGAAGGTTAGTTTTAAATTTTTTTAACAAAATTTATAATACAAACACATTTCAATTTGAAAATGAATCCTGTTCCTTGAAATTGTTTGTAATTTATGTTACATACTTTTATTTATTTAAACATAAGAAAATAGAAAGAATTAGTAAAACTAAATCTATATTACCATATATTATTTTAAATTTTCATTCATCAATAGTTTTATCTGATTCATAGCCCACATTCTCCAGAATCTGATAATGAAACAACTTGTAACAATAAAACAGTTTTCACACAGTCAAGGTATCCACAGGTACCTTTCTTGTTAGTAAATCAACAGTATCTGTGTGCATCTGTTGATTATATATGCAGATATCCCTCACACATGATTTTGCTCTAACATGGTTCTAAAATTGGGGAAATCTCTATACAACATGGTTGAGAATTGAAGACATCCCCTGTACAGACTGTCAGTTTTTAAGTTCAATTACTGCATATTTTTTTATTCAGGCAAGCATGTGTGTTGTCTCATGCCTTTACCCAATTTTCTTAATGAGAACTGACTATGCAATTTGTGTTTTTCCTTGTCCTAGCTTTCTATAAACCAGGTGTCTATTGTTGGTGATAGTCCTCTAAATGAACCTGCAAGACTGGTTTTTGTATTTCGTTTTTATTGATTAAATTAAAAGTTACTACATAAAAAATAATAATAAATTTTTAAAGATATATTAGGCAGATGCAAGCAAACAAAAATGTCAGATTTTATAGAAAAAGTAGAGGAAAATCAAGAGGTTGCTGTACTTCAGATTAAGATAAACAGGAAAGCTCAGATGATGATGATATTTTACCAAAAAGAAAACATTCTTGTTTAATGATATTTAGCAGTGAAGAAAAAATTAACATGCAGTACTTTTGTTATTCTTAGTTAATTAATTGCTTTAATAAATATATCTGTCTTAATTACAAAAAAAGAATGATATATTTTTGGAACATAACATAAAATTTATAATAATAATAAAGATCGGAATTTGTTAGAAGTAATCTGTGGACTATGTGAAGTAGTTTGATATTTTTTTTCTGAAATTTTATACTGTGAACTTAATATTCAATATGATTATCTTAGATGATAAGCTTAGTTTTAAAAAATAATCCAAAATACCTATGATGTAATATTATTATTAATTAAGGAATCATGTAAAAACATAGTTTTGTAATCAACATAAACTGTGACTTTCAATTCAAAAAAATGCAAAGAATATCATTAATTTATATCTATCTGAAGATAGTTAATTTTTTTTTTACTATTCATAATCAATTGAAATGTATTTGTGAGGTATCTGTATTTAATGTGAATGTAAATCAGATTAATTTTCCTTTTATGAAAATTAGGAAAAAAACTATTACTTTTACTAAATGATATAGAATTTTGCATTAGTGACATCAACTCTTCAGAAACTTTAAAGTACATGATAATCTGTAAGAAACTTTTCTTTATTTGCTTCATATCAACAGATGTAACTTTGGATTAAATGGAAAAAATTGTATTTTATTTCTTTTTAGTTTAACCCTAGATAGTTTTTAAAGAAAATGTATATTGAAATGTTTTAAATTTAACAAAACTTGCATTTACTTAACAATTATCAGTACTATAAATGTAGGATTTTGATAAAATTAACTTTAAACTTAATAAAGAAAACATCTTTTGACAATTAAACCTTAAAAACCTTTAATATGTGGTCTTTTTATTATATCTTCTAACACGTTTGGTCAGTTGATTGACCTTTGGGAAAGAATCAAAAGATTTTGATTTTCACTGAACAAAACCTATTATGGAATGGCTTTTACTTTTTAAAACATTCTTTTGACAAGAATGAAAAGAAAAAAATTTTTTTACTTGGATATTCATTATTTAAAAAGTTTATATATGGAAATGTAAAAAAAAAATTTGATATTTTGTTTTAAATTTTAGATGCCAGTTATGTTTTCATTCCATTTAAAATAGGTTTTCCATTAGTTTTGTTTTTTTCCTCTTTCCAGGTTTAGAAGAGAGGACGTTTATGTATTATTTGAGTGACGGTGTCTATGGATCATTCAACTGTCTGATATTTGATCATGCTGAAGTCTCGCCACATCCTCTTGCAGTGAGTTGCTTAAGTAAAAAATTACTTAATTTTATTTTTATTTGTATTTAGTAGTAACTAATAAGTTGTAATTACTTGATTTTTGTGGAACACTACTAGTATTTTCTTTAATTATAAATTTTATGTATTTATCAATACAGAAATTTTTTAATATTCTGTCCTGATAGTAATTATTATCTATAATGTTTCCATTAATTTACTAATAAAAACAATTAAGTAATCTCTCTACTCTTTGAAGTTTCATATATATGTTAATATACATATTTTGTTAATTATGTGACTAAAATTAATTTGTATGAATTTAACTCGTATAAAAACAATTTTTAAATTTAAAACTTCAACATTGTCATACATGTTGATTTTTATTCAAGAAGTCAGCTAAGAATTCTGTTTAGCAGAGTTCAGTCAATTTAGCAGTTGCTATTAGTTTGAAATATGGGATGTTCAAAATAATTTTGATTCAGCTTTAATTTAACATTATGCAAAGATTACTCAATTTTGTATCAATTAGTGAATGTTATGAGAGATTGGCTAAAAATATAATTTGAAATATTTTTATCAGTTTAGTAGCCCAGGGTATGATGTTTTTAAGCAAACACCCCTTCTTTGTAGTATTCCTCTAGTTTTTTTTCTTTGAGTATGGAAAAATCTTTGTCACCTTATTTTCTTTCATCCTCTGGCTTTGGCAGCTGTTTAATTATGCTATTTTTATTGTGGCACAATAGACTAAACTGAGCTGCACACATTTTGTGTAGCCTAGTTTAGTTTGATGAATTTAATATCTGGTTTTATCACTTTCTTCATTGTCCCTTTCCAGGCTACTATTGAGAATACTTCTGGTAATTTTTGCAAAGAATTCTAGTTTGTTGTTTTTTTATGTGGGTCCAGATCTCAGATGCACAAGTTAAAACAGATCAGATAAACATTTTGTATAAAGAAACTTGTTTTCCTTGAGTGTCTTTACAGACCAATGAAACTTCTGTTGGCTGTCATATCTCATCACTGAGTTTCTTGGTGCTTTTTTTTTCATAGTAACCTATTCGATGTTGAAATTTTTATTTGTTGCCTGTGACGCCGTGTTGAATTTTCGTCTATGTTAAGCCTGAATTTTTTTTTATAATAATAATCGTGTTTACTGTATCGTAAAAAATTATTTTTTATGTTTCACAAACAAAATATATTGGTATATATTAAATAATATAAAAACGAAAAAAATTTTATTTTAATTAAGAGTTCATTTTAATATAAAAATTGTGACGCGAAGTGACATCTAGTATCAAAAACATTCTGATGTAAACATGGTGAATATTCGGGATCGCCCACGCAGGTCAATCTGGTCAACACAAATATTTTTGGGATCAACGTAGGACAGGTTAAGTTTGGATCCCAGATATATGAAGATGTGAACAGTTTTGAACTTGGCTCTTGCAAGTTTAATATAGGAGGGAATCTTACTGTACATTTGTGATTGTTGTGTATTTTGATTTTTTATTAGCTGATCTTCAGATGCTTTTTGCTAATAACCCTCTCAAAGGCAAGAAACCTTTTTTCTGATGTGGTTGTCCTTGCTGCAATATCATATAAGCAAATATCTGTATAATCATGAAAGATATTACCTGTTCTTTGAATCTAAAATTAGCACAGCTTTTTCTAAAATTAAATATTGGAATAATTTTGAATTAGAGACAAGACAATGAAAGACTGTCATACTCATTCTTTTCACCTATGTTGGGCTACAATTTTAAAAATTATAGACCTATAAATTCCCACTGCCATCTATCTGTGTCCTTCCTTAAACTATAGATCGGAGTTAGATAGATGAAAGTCAAGACCAGATTTGGAAAACTTAGGTATAGGAAACCTTGGTTAACTATATATGAACTACTGGTTTGTCCTGGAAGTCATGTTATATTTTAATTCTAAAATTTTCTCCTGGACAGAGTTAGATGACCAGCACGAATGTATTGCTAACAGGAATAGTATGATGTACAGTACAGGGACAAGATTCT